CCACAATGCCGACAAGTGATTAATAAAAGTCAAAAGACCAAAGAGGTCACCTTAATACCAAAAAAAAAAAAAAAAAAAATAAGTAATCATTATGATAAGTTATTTCTAATTTATATGACATTATTAATATATGTTATGATACTATTTGTTTAAAATATAACATACTTATCTAACATTAAAAATTAAATAGTATTAATAGTTGAATGTTTTCTTGTATTCTTTAATAATAACAATAATTACTTAAAGAAACAATGAACATTAATATCCAAAGTTCTAATTATATTATATATTTATTAATATTTATATTAATATAATTTAAATTATTTTTTCTTCCAAATGTGTTAATAGAATTAATAATATTTTGTTCAATATAGTTCATAGAAAGATATTAACTAAATATAATAAAAGATAAAACTAAGCTAACTGATGAAAGGTTAATTTAACATGACTGATTATATGTTAATTGAATTGCTCTTTGATCAATAGTGATTGGTTGTTATTTCTATATAAATATTGCAGTTAGATGCATTTTACTAATATCTCTTGTCACTAGTATTATTAATATAATCTTCTTTATCCAAACTATTTTTACTAAACTTTAAAGATCAGTATGAATTGTTAATTGTTCAGCAACTTCATTATTTAAAGAAACTTGGTTTTCATGATGCAAATTTTCAGCAAGAATATCTACAATCAAAAGTCCATTACCAATACTTTCAAACTTAATTTGAAATTTTTTTTTAACATGACCTAGTTAATGTCTTAACAACTAAACTATAAAAGTATAAATTTTTTAAATTTTTACTACCTTGTAAGTATTGTGTAATAATATCCTTTAACAATGCATTTGCTTTGCAACTAACCTGCTCTCTAACAATAATTTTGCTTGAAATTTTTGACATGATATATATATATAATAATAAGCTAATAATATGTTGTTAATTATTGTAAAATTAATAAGTGCAGTAAAAATTAGGTAACTAACTAGATATGTAACTAGATATGTAACTAGATAGCAATAGGTTATATAAAGTTTTAATAAGTATAGTCAAATGCAAAGTTTAATTATGATATTGTATTATATATGATTCAAAGTAAAAAGAGTATCAAAAATTATTTAATCTTATATGATTTAATCACAAAAAAAAAAGGTATTTAAATAATTTATCTTTTCAAGTTTAATAAAATTATTTCATTTAATTCACATAACATTACAGCTTATTGATTATAACTTTACAGCTCTTTGATCATAGCTAGTAGTATATTTAAACACAGCGTAATAAAAACATCAACAATATATTGCTCATAAGTATAAAACCTTTTAGTTTAATAATGTAAAGTACGTTTAAAACAAACTTTTAGTCTGATAGTATAAAACATACAAATAAAATAGAATCAAATAAATTAAATAAAAAAACAAGTGCACATGTTGCATGTTATTTATTGATTCCCATCAATTCAGAATCGACACATGTCAGTTGCGAATCAAAAAATAACATGTGTTATTTCAGGATCGATATGAATTTTACCAATTAGTCCAATCAATTAACAAATTTTATATTAATAACGTTTTTTTTTACTAAATATATATGATAAAAGAAAGCTTTTTTAAAAATAATAAATTTTTTAAGAAATTCCTTTGCATATATACTGTAAAAATAATGATAATAAAGTTCTTTCTGTGAATACTAAAGCTATAAAAAAAAGTTTCTTTTATAAATGCTAAGTATTAAACTTAAATACTAAATACAGCATTTTAGTATATTAATTAATTGGGATCTAATGATTTTTACATTGATTCCACAAGACACATCCACATCGTCGTGAATACAGTGAATTATTTTTTCTACATGAGCATGATTTACTGCTGCAATTTGTTTTTTTGCAGTAACAGCAATTGTGAGTTTTTTTAGATTCAAATTGATTCGTTTCAAGATCTTGATCATCGCTAGTACTATTATAAAATAAAAAATTTAAATAAAGAAAAAATATAACTTAAAAGTTACTTAAAAAACTTATTCAATATAAACTTTTACCTTGAAGGTTGGTTTGTTAGACGTGTATGATTTTGCTTAATAGTAGCATGTCTTAGTGAAATTGTTTTGTTCAATAAAATTATATCGAGATCTGGATAGTTGGATGTACCTAATAGTATTAATTCACTTGCTGGATACTATCTATTAAGCATTCCGAATTTGCAAGCAATCTGATAGGAATCTTGATTTCTTTTTTGAATTACTTTACAAGACAATGATTTTCTGTCTATTTTTATCTTATCAATATTAGAAATTTGAATTTTTACAAGATCACCTGGTTCAAATATACGATTTCGCTTGGTTTTGTGTTTTATTTTCATTGTATTTCTAATAAATTCCCGATTTTTTTTAACATTTAAAATTGCAGCTTGTTTAATTTTTTCATGTTTTTCAAAGGAAGACGAGATGAATTCATAATAACTTGTAATGGCAACCTTGACTAAAAAAAAAGGTACAAAAAAATGAATAACCATAATATTAATCAACTAAACCTGTTAGCTATTATAGTATACTGACTAAAAGACCCATATCTTAGTTAATACACTATAGTATTAATTAAATTCATAATACAATTGTTATTACTTGCGGTTCAATAAGATTAGCTTTAGATTTTCTCTTTTCATAAATAACTTCTATTTCAGATTCACTATTGTCTAATATAACTGTTATTTCTGAACTAATTCTGTTTGCATATTCAGAATTATAAGATTCTTCTTCTGAAGAATAATAAACATTGTTCTCTGCTATAAAGTAGCTTGAATCTAATTCATTCTCTGAACTTTCTATGTCTTCTAAACTTTCTGCTAAAAAATAATGCGGATCTAATTCACTTTCAAGCAAATTATTATTTCTAAAAGAATCATTTTCAAATGAATTATTATTTGTTTCATGATCATGATCATGATTTTCTAAAATGTTAACTATATTAGTATCACTATGCGACAACTGCCTGAAAACCACATTGTAAGGTGTGGTTTTATGTGTGGAACAATATTGATTATTCATTGCCCCTTTATAAATAGATTATAAAAAAAAAAGTTAAATGTTATTTGAATTTTAAAATATCATTATATAATATATTGTTTATCAATATTTACAAATTACAAATTTTAGACCTACACTCCAGTTATTATTGTGTGTATCTTTCATCCAAGCTTCCAGTTTGTTTTGAAGAATGCTGTTACCTTTTTCTACAAGACCTTGACACTGAGGATTTCTAGCCCAACCACGAACAATTTTAATAGATGACCAAAGACTCATTGCTTCCTTAATAGTTTTTTCAATAAATTCACCTTCATTATCAGAATGAAGAACTGCAGAAGGACCATATATCAAACAGAAATTAAATAAAATTGTTGCAACTTCCTCAGCCGACTTGGACACTGTGGGTTCAGCATATGAGAATCGGGAAAAATGATTTCTTATATGAATAATGTATTTGTACTATCCATCTGGTATTGTCATCATATCAATTGTATCAATCTACAGTAAATATTAGTAAATATTAAAAACTTAAAAAAAATATGATTAAATACATAATATTAAAATCTTAAAAGTTACCTGTATATGATTCAAGAACTCTTCTGCAACTATTGGGTGAATAGGTGGAACCTTCTTAATTGCTTGCCTTGTTATACATACTTGACACTCACATATTGCATCCTCAACTATTTGCTGCGGGATAAAGCAATATCAAACTCAAATCTTTAATTAAATTATTATGCAGATTAAATAAAAGATATTTATTATAATATTATAATGACAATAATAATGAATATAATAACTTTTTTCCAGGTTCTTTCCTGGCCTTCATGCTCAATTGCTTGATGCGCGGTGCAAATCACATTATAAAAAATTTCTACTGGACAAACTTGTGTCCCTAAATTATTTTTATCACATTTCAGTAAATGAAGTTCTTCTGTTACACCAAGACTAAGTACTTTAAATGTATGGGTAACCCAATATTTAAGCCTTGGATTGTGTGAAAGGTTGGGATTTTTTAATATATTTATGCATTCATTATAGCGATTGATATGCATCAAACAACAGGTGTTTTTTTTTTGACTGATATATGCTTCCAATATTCGATTAAAAGATTTACAAGACAGAAAATTAAAGGTTTGTAGTTCCATGATTGTAACAAAAAAATTTTTTTTTAAAGTTGTTTTTCTTTTTCGCTTTATGGCTGATAGGTACAGTATGTTACGTATTTAATTAACTTGGCTTTTATTTTATCGATATAATAAATATGTAATTAATATATAATTATTAGATACGTAATTAATTAATTAAACTTTTTATTTCATCGATATGATATGCAATCATTAGTATCATAAAGTCCAATAACATTTGCATCCAAAAATAATATGCGTCATTTGTTAATCGGTGAAAATTCAAAAACAACATGCGTCAATTCCGAATTGACAGGAATCAATAAATGATATGCAACATATACAAGTAGTATAATCAGTATAAACCTATAATCAGTATAAGCAAGATAATAAGTATAAGTGATAAATCATGGATAAGATGTATAATGTGCTATAAATAAATGAAATTATATTATAAAGGCATTTCACCCTAGAGAAAACATTCTTTGTGATTCAAATAAAATCTGTCTCTTAATTTATCTGCATCATAATTAAATACTTACATTTCTATCTAGTACTTAAGTGGCATAAGTGATACGATTATTGTTCTTGTAGTTTTTGTTATAGTAATAATGGATAGTAGATACAAGTGTTAGTGTGCTAGCAAGCTGTACCGGATGGCTCAAGACAAGTAAAAGAAGACATACCTACGACATAATTTCCCACTAGCCAAATCCAAACAACTTTCTCGACTAAGCCAAACTTTGGAATGATTGACTCACCATATAGAGTATTCAATATGTCAACACTGCTCCTCGGCGATTAAAAAAAATTACGAGAAATTGTTTGCAACTGTGTCGCACTTAGAGATGGGACACTGCGCAGGCATTTTTGAGGCTGCACAGTGAAATATTCATAATTCTGGCCAGCTGGCATAATTCTGGCCAGCTTTATAATCCAGGTTTGAATTACCAATCGGAAATCAGTTCGGATCGGCCTGAACTGCATCACCTGATTAATAGAATCCATCGTTCATAATGCTGGTCAAACTTGCAGATCATTTGACCACATTTAAAGTTGTTTTGTTCTAGATCTGGCCAAATGATCTGCAAATTTG